GGGCGGCCGGCCGCTGAGGTGGCTTTCCCGGGGTGGGGGCGGGCAGGACATTTAAGACAGTAAATTTGTCTCTTAAATTCTGAACCTCAAAATAAACGTGTTAAAAGCCGTATTCATTTACTTGTCATTCAGGTTCTGGTGCTGCTTTCCTGTGTAACTGAGCTTGCGCTATATAACTGTGGGTGAATTGTTTACACAGGCGGAACTTCTTCAGCGCTGTATTATCAAAAGTTTTGTTCTGTTGATACTTCTGGGAACTCTGTTAAATGCGTCCGCAGGAGTAAGGACATATTTTATTCTCCTCGTACTCTTCTGCATCAATTCAAATTTCATAACTTTCAAAGAGACTGCTGCGATCTGAACACAGTTTTGGCCAGTCCAGGATCGCTTTTGAGCCTGCGGCCACGCTGCCCTGCGTCCCTCAGTGTCCCCTTCTGACAGCCACAGGTGTCTCGCAGCCTGGTTTGAGTGTCTGTGGGTGTCGCAGACCATCCAGAGGGGTCACCCAGCCACCTCCAACGTCACCTGCCCGTCACCGACCCCCAGCTATTGCAGGGCAGTCAAGGATCTTGGAGAGCTGCATGGCCAACACAAAGCCAACGAGTCCGCTGTGTCCACCCGCCTTACTAGCCCTCTTCATGGCTCTGTGATTGCAATATATATAAAAAAACTCCACTATTCCTTCTTGGAAATAGATTCATTAACAACATGTTGATGCAGCGGTACCAGAGGCCTCCCTTTCTTTGACAAAGAGTTAGTAAATGGCAGCCTCGAGTGACAAGGCATCACTTGAGTGCAAGCAAAGTGCACTGATTTCTCTAAATTCGTGCAGCTTGGCAGAAATTTCTTTGCAGAAATCGTAGGTTGTGCTAAGGCATTGTTGATACATAACCAGACAAATTTCCGTTGAGCTAACTTTTATAAAATTATTGCCATTGCAGGATTTTGCCAATAAATCCTTTAGGGTAGATCCATGGATCTACCACTTGCTTCACAGGAATGAAGGTGATATTTTTTGTTCCTTCAGTACCTTCCCAGTTGTCAAAATGCACCTATCGTGGGATTGCAGTGTTGCAGAATTATTGCATGAAAGTATTTTCATCATGTGCTTCCTAAATTTATTTGAGAGGCACTGCTATGATTTGGCTGCCAGTCAGTTGTCAGTTAATTGGACTGAATTTTCAAATTAAAAACCCTTCTGATGTAGCTATCTTATCATCTCAGCATTGTTTTCACTTTTATCACAACCTTTACTGTTGTGTCATATTACAGTCTGAATAATGGAGTGCGGGTCATGTGTCCTCCGCAACTCTGTGACCTGTGTACCAGGCTAGGGAGAAGTAAATTGCAGGCATCCGTTTCGAACCTGTTTTCCAATGAAGGAGTTTGATCTGCACTTCTTCCTCAGTCAGGTCTGCTCTTACTGTGAGAATTTCATAGTTGATAATACTGAGAGTATTATCTGGCTAATCTCCCTCATCATTTCAGATTCTTAGATCCATCAGCATGCTCTCTGAGTCATCTTTTTGAAACAGGATAGATGGGACATCATCTGCATTATATGGCATTCTATATGTGGTGAGAAAGACCACACATTTCCAAGCAATATTAACATCTTGTGTCAAAGGCGCCAAGAAAGATGTACTTTCCAGATACATCCAGTCTCGTGCTTTTAGTTTATAAGGACTAATGTGTACTTAATCCAATAATGCTCTGTGTGAATAGCCTTTCCCTGTGCAAATAAGACTGTTAACAAAGGTTCTGTGATTTTCTGGATTATAAAATAAAATCAATCACTGATGCACTACTCAAAATAATAAATAGCAAGTATTTGGGTTTGGTTTTCTGTTTGTTTGTTTTGTTTTACTAAAAATCGTGTGCATCACCAGGCTGGAGACACAGAATTTAGTGATCAGGTTCATCGTTTTCAAGAATAAGTTGCAGTAGTTATTTTTTTCTGAACACAATTCCATCCAACACTGCTGGACACTGCGAACAGGGGCTATTGCGTGAACATATTAGGTGGGATGAGCGAGGTGTAAAGTCTACCAATTTTAATGTCTGATTTGAAGCATTATTTCACTGTTCTAGCGATGTTCATGTTTGAACTAGTCTGAAAAAAATAGGAATCAACTGCACAAAATAGTATGTCCTAAATTGTATTGTAAGTTCTGTAGCTGACTAGAAAGCTCCCACTGATTTTGCTGTCCAATTTCTTCCTCAGTTATCCCATTTTTATCCAGTGTAAAAATGGTTGAAAATAAAGCAAAGAAAACATGGCAAAAAAATGATGATGGGCCAGTTCATCTGGCACTGAAAGGAGTTATCTTGCAGTCTAGATGTGGTCCATCATGATTTGGGTAGCCTTACGTGGGTACTACTGAAATATGAAAGGGGAAAAAGCTGTAATGAAGTGATTGGTCATTTTGTGAAACAAAGACTTGTTTTGTTTTGTTTTCTTCCAGATCATCTAAGCTATTAAAGAGCGCTGGCACCAGGGAAGAAAATATAGACGACATTTTTGATGAAATCTGTAATGACAGTAGTTTCCCCAAAACACCTCAGGTGAGTGGAAGCCCAGAGAAATGCAGAAGGGATGAGCTTCAATGAAGAAGACAATAACATCACAAACTAAAACTGTTTTCAAGCAAAAATTGAATTTAAATTGCCTATAGGATAAACTTGAAGAATAGTCAAGCAGGAAGGAAACTGCAGTAATCCCTAGAGAGCGACGAGCTGGAGAGCCGTGAAGATACAGTCTTACCAAGGCACCTAGAGGAAGTGCTAGTTCAAAGAGGAGCATGAGGTCATTATCAGGGCAGTCTGAGTTAGCCTTTTGTTTTGAAATGAAGGATGCACTTTTCCTGAGATAAGCACTTGGAACCACAACATAGCATAGCAGTTGAGGCTGAAAGAATTTCATTAAACCATCTGCTACAACCCTCTTTCTCAGAGCAGAATCAACTGGTGCAGGGTGTTCAGGTCCACCAGGACCCTTGGGGCCTTTTCTGCCAAGCAGTTTTCCAGCCACTCACTTACGGCTGAACTCAATGATCTTGAAGATCTTTTCCAACCTTTATGATTCTATGATTCCATGCTCAGCTTATGTATTTAGGAGTGGTATGGGGTTTGGGGGTTCTTTTGGTTTTTTTTTGTGGTTTTTTGTTGTTGTTGTTGTTTGTTTGTTTGTTTTAATTGTTGGAACCAGAAAGATATGAAAGACATTTATTTAAGTTTTGCATTTTAGCTCATATTTATTTATACTCCTTCCTCTTGTTATCTCCTTCCGTTTACCAAGCAGATAGTTTGGAGAAGCAGCCTGCTCTCTTCCTTTCGAGAAAACACTCTAAAGGGGAGATTGCATCTGAGGAAAGAGCTGCCTGGGCCAAGCTTGCTGTCAGCCGGCTTCCCTCTCCAACTGTTATTTCAGCAGATTTTGTCTCAAAGAGTCTTACAGAAAACTGAGCAAGAAAATTCCCCTTTTCTCAGCCCTCTTCTTCTGTTACTGGTGTTTTCCCTTTTGCTTATTAAGTAAAACAGAATATTGTTATTGTGTTATAATGGTTCCTTTTTCTCTTTGACTCTGTTGTTTTGCTTTTATTTTTTAATAGAAATCCAAGTCTAACTCTGCAGGTGCTGCACCTCACAGCAGTAATCTTGTTACACAGGTCTATGGGAAACGGTAAGTGAAAAATTATTTGGTCAGTAGAACACAATTATAGCATGTCATCAGTTTAATAGATATTACTACTCTTTAAATTATATAGAAATTCAATGAGAAAGAAAGTAAATATTTGTTTGCTTTTTTTTTGAGAAAGCACAGGTAAAATATACAAAGTTAATTCTGAAGAATTAATAGTATATTGTCATGTAGCCAAGATTATACACTATTTAAATAATTACTGAAGGACAGCCTCCTTTACCTTATGGATGCACACAGTTATCAAAAGCTGCAGTATGTAGTCTTATGTGTTTTGGATATAGTGTTTGGCTCTCATGGAGTTTTTCTTTGAATGCCTCAGTAATGGACATTTTAAAATTCTAGTTTGTAACATTTGAGTGCTTTACCTGTGGTTAATAAGCTATTGCTTTAGAAATACTATGCCTGGAAGGTACTTGGAAAGGTACACATACTTGAAGCAGTATGACACATAACAGGCTAATTTAGGATTATGCTATCTTTTCAAAATGTTTTACTGCAGTTTAATATTTTTCTGTGAAATCAATGTAGGTGCTGTCCAGTGTATCTGGGTGGAAGCTCTTCACCATGTGGTATAGGAACAAATATTTCAAAGGTAGGGAAATGAAAAAAAAAAAAAGTTCTGCTTGCTTTAGCATTTTTTTTTTATCACAACTGTGTTTCTGTCATGGTACAGCAGCATGTATTCTGAGTCTGAATTTGACATGGCAGCTATGTACTCATTTCAACCTGCGGCCACCCGTAACTGCAATTAGAGTCAGCCGATTCTTTCCAGTTCCCTGTTCTTGATCAACAAATCTTTGCCTTGCTTGTGTGAGGAGTTGAAAGATGTGTAGAAACGAGGCAATAGGCTGCAGAAATAAAGGCTATCTTATAGTTAAGGTATAGCTAAGTACCTCAGCTTTCTATGTGATGCTGAGTATGTCACTTAAGTCAGTGGGCCACATGTTCCAGGAGCTTGGCCTAAAGATAGGCAGAGTGCTCTGCAACTGAGCTTAGTGGGAGAAATGCTTTAAAGATGCCCCTCCAACATCCTATGGAACATTTTATCCTTTTCATCTAGCATTTTGCTGTAGTAAATCATTATGCACTTGATGCATAGTTGGATGTGCTGAGGTACCATATCAGTGAGAGGATAAAAGACAATATGTCAACAGAAATCAGTTTATTTGATACATTCAGTGAGGTAAGGAAAATGATACATGATCATATAACTAAAACACATACCCTATGTGTGCCAGAGATGTATAAATGTAAGATTACGGGCTAGCCTTTCTTCTGGCATTTCTGGGTCAATACTTTCTGCACTGTCTGCTGTCCTTTGTAATATTCTTGTAGTGTAGTTTCTCTGCATATAATAATTTCTTGGGGATTTTGTTCTCTTTTCTTTGACAGAACATGTGATCAGCTGCGCTGTACTGCTTGTGACTTCCGTGTGTCGCTTTACAATGACTACAAGTGGGATCAGTCCTGTGATTACCTTTTTTTCAGGTATGCTACGGGTGGATTTAGTACCAGTACTGGGTTACTGTGCCTCAGGGCCTGACCTGAAGGAGAAAGTTGAGCAGTCCTGAGCACGCCGTGTTGTCTAGCTGGGAGCACGTGGGCAGCCTGTGTGATGGTGGGGAGGGGGGTGCAGCACCACCCATGATCACGTCTCATTCATTTTCCCCTCTTGCCTCTGCCACTCTCCCTACTAAATACATGTCTCTACTTTTAGAAAGAATCCAGGTGTTATGATCAAGCAGCAGCTTTACTGCTGAAATAAACAGATGCTCTGTGTAAATGGGTGCTGTTTTACTCCAGGGTATTTGTCTGGCATATTCTTTCATACACACTAGAGTTGTTTTTAAACCAGTTTTTCCCTTTTTTTGATATCGAGCATAATGCCATCCGTGTAACATGTTCAGTGAAATTCACACAGTTTCATTTCTTAATAGACTTATTTTTAAAGTAAAGTCCTCTTAATTGGAAAAGTGAAATTTTGTTTTCTTGTTATATTGTGCTGCCTTTACTGTTTCTCATTTCCTTTTTTTTGGATGGCTTGAAATTAAAGAGTTTTTATTTACAGTTTCTCTAAAATTGTACCTAATGGCAAGACTTTGGTGAAATGTAGTGTTGCAGGCATCCTCCTAATACATACATAAAATGTAAATTCCTCTTGTTTTCATAAAGTTTCTGTACATTCTAGATCACTGATCGAGGTAATTATGTGTTTCGAGCATGTGCTTGGCCACCAGAGGGTGTTACAGCTGGTGTAAACACTAATGAATAAAACCATCTCTATTTCCTTTTCTTTCTTTTTTTTTTTTCTCTACATGTTGGGTTTATCCTGCATTTTCCCTGTTGTTGCTGTTGTTTGTTTGTTTTTTAAAAAAAGAATAAAATACTTGTGTTTTTTTGTAGTGTTGAAAACAGGATTAAAAATGCAACACTGCAGTCGTCTCCTAAAATGAGTTTGGTAGTTAGAAAGATTAAATAAAAATGATTCTTTCATTTAATGAAAGTCCAAATTATTCTGCCTCTGAGATCTTGAATTAATAGAAAACCCAATGCAGTGGAAGGCTTTGCTGTGAGATAATAAACTCTTTCTTTGGAGCCTGAAGCAGGATCTCTAAAGCTGACAGAGAATTTTGTTTACAAAAACATTAAGCTTCAGTTGATCTGAAAAGACAGCAAACCTTCTCTCAGAAAAGGACTCTGTTTAAAAATCAAATTTAAACATATCTGCTAATTTATTGGTGACAGTGGCCCTCAAAATGTGCCTATGAGCTTTTCTGATTTGAAATGGCCTCATGAGTCATTTTACTTAAAAAAAAAAAAAAAGCCTAATCTTACACTGACTCCCTTGATTGACAGGAATAACATGCCTGACCTCAATAAGCTAAGGGCGAAGATGATAAGGAAGAAAGGCTCCCGGGCCTACGCTTGTCAGTGCAGCTGGAGAGCTGTGGACGAGTTAACCGACCTGCAGACAGAGCAGCAGCTTCGCTGGGTTTGTGGTAAACATGCAGAATGAAGTCCTCTTGTGTGATAGAGCTGCTTTTATGCAAAAGCAGGTCACAAGCTCAATTTGTTTCCCACAGAGTTTTCTCTGTGTAAAAATGGATGGGAACTTATATACTTATATAAGTATACTTATATCTAGAACTAGATCATAACACCTAGAGTTCAAACTGAAAAGTGTTTTTTTCACTCCAGCTGTCTTGCAAACCATGTGAAGAGTCAAATTGTTACAAGTAACAGCCAATTTGGAGGCTTTTTGGAGACTAAACAAACTTAAAGTGCATTTTCAGTTATGCTGAGGAAAGCAAGAGGAAATTAAGCAACTTAGGTATGGGGCAAAGAATTGAAGAATATCGACACCTTGGCTGTGTTCCTCATATCCAGCAAAGAGCCTCATTTCCCACAGCTGCAAAATGTGGGACTCAGAAAATGATGGGCTGAGATGTAGCCATAACACAAGTATATGAATTTCTATATGGAAATTAATATTGCTGTTCCACTTTTCCCATAGCTGTCAACAGTCATAGATCTCCAAAAACATTACTGCAAAATCAGCTCTCACCACAAAGGTTTTGGCACCCCCAAAACTTTACTTTCTATTAACCACCAGTAGCCAAGATCTGCAGGTGTTGGAAATTTCCTTCCTAGTTCCTACTCCTCTCCATGTGTTTCTTTCTTCAGAACTTTTTCTGCTGAGCAAGGACTTTCTGTTGAGGTTTCTTGGACCTTTATCACAAGGAATTTCTTGGGCTTCTCTTCAGCTTTCACTGCAAGAGGTGAACAGGTTACTCAACAATACTGTGCAGTTTATAAAGTATTCCGAGGAATATTTGATTCTGTTCCACCAATATTTTCAAGGAAAAAAAAATGGACTTTAAGAGTGAGAAAAATATATCCCTACTGACTTTCATATTGTTTTTTTTTTCAATTTACATAGTTTCAGTTCAAAATACTACATATTTAGAAAGGACATCTGTCCCATTTCAACACATACCAGTAACATCATAATATCGTGTTACTTGGTGAGTGGTTTTGGTTACAGTTAATGTTACTGTAGTTTATAACCTTCTTCCTTTTCACTCCTTACTTATAAATAAGACGGGAATTGGTTTTGGGTTTTTTCTGGGGAAAGGAAAGGGTTACCAGTTAAAAAATGTGCCATGTTCCAAAGACAGATAGTGAGAACTTCTCACTTCAAAATGAGGTGTAACTTGGAGGAAAAAAAAAAAAAAAAGGAGTGAGAAATCTGTTAGTATTTTTTGCTATGCAGTATGTGATGCTGTATGGATAAATTCAAAGTTATTTGCTTTCTGCAATTCCAGTTACACAGAAACATTTATATTTTTATGAAGTTCTGCTCACTGCCCTACTTTGTACAAGGTCAGTTCTTTCTCTGAGCTTTTCCAAGGCAATTACATGCTCTTCCTTATGGAAGTCATCTAGTGAATCATCAGCCTGTCTGTACCCCGCTGCGAGAGCAGGGCCTGGCGCTGGCCGAAGGTGACATCCGTATGTTCTGTATCCTGGCCCTCTGCCTTGGCTGTGTGTTAGTGTGGAGCCCGTGGAGGACCTGCAGCTTTCGAGGGCCTGGCAGCACCTGCACATGTTCCAAGTGCACGTTCCCAGGGATGTGTCTGAAATCCCGTGGCTGGCTCTGAAGAAGAACTTCAGATTCCCTGGGCATAATGATATAGACACATTTACTGTAAGTTGTTTCCAGGACAATTGGTGTTTCAAGCTGAAGTTCCAACTGTTAGAGTCTAATCTGAGGTGTGAGAGATGGGGAGACCTGGAGATCAGTTGATTAGTGCTCAGGCAGCTACTGGACTAGGTCAACTTGCTTTCTGTCCTTTACGAAGAGATACCTAAGTGTGGATTGTAAGCAGCTTCTTCAGGTGGCTGAGGGATTGGCATTCCCAGAGAACTTCAGAGCTGATGGTGAGAGAAGAATCCAACAATAGTATGTAATTTAATAACAAGCATTGCAGAAGAAGACACCAATTTTTCCATTCTCCACCTTGAAGAAAAAATTTCAGTAATAGCTTTGACTCACCTCTTCCAAAGTCATTGGTGACTCTGATGACCAGGCAGTCCATGGGGTGCAGTTTTGGCCTGGATTTTCACTGGAACTTGTGCCATAGTGCAGGGAACAAATTAGGCTTGCAACTTGTGAGCAGGAAGAAGGGAAAATCCAAGCACCCATCTCAGTTTGTAGCACCAAGTCGTATGAAGTTGTCAGACGCCATGTCGTTTGGCAAAGGAGCATGTCCCCTGTACGCTGTTTTCAACAGACAGGAACAGTTATCCCCCTCTGGAATCATTTACACTGCCAAGTGTGTGAAGGAAACATGGAAACAAAAGGTCAAGACATCTGTTGTGGTGATTTGATGACAAGAAGACAGAAAGCTTGAAACCATGGAAAGTGGGGGCTAGGGAGGAACTGGGACGAAAGGTCTGAGAGTGGCGACGTAAAAGGTACCAAGGCAAATCCCTGCTGATAGCATCAGTCAGCAGTTCTCAGAGGTCAGCTCATCCTCTGCCTTCTGTTGGTCTAGAGAAGTGTAGAAGCAGTGTTGGTTCTGGATGGAGGCTGGTACCTTGGGTTGATATCGCTTGCACCCTTAAGGCTGCACTCCAAGCACTGACAATTGAGAAGCTGGTTTTGTAGATGTGTGTGGACCCTGAGCGTTTCCTTGAAATCATCATGTTTATCCAAGAACTGTTAAGCTTGTTTCTGACCTTGATCAGAATGCGATAGCTCCTCAACTCAGAGATGCTGAGAAATCCTACTTATTGCATTGTCTTTCAGTACAAAATTTAATGTATTTCTAGATCTGAGAATAGTTACTATGTCATTAAAAGTATTGATCCTGTGGGAAAGAGGAATTGTATTAAGAATTAGTTTTCCTTACGTGTGTTTTCTTCAGTGTTAATACGTTACAAACCACTGCAAAATCCTCACATGGAAAGAAATGGAAGAAAGCTAAAACTGGAGCTTGAACGTTTAGTTGATGACGATATTAGAAGATTGCACATGGATTTCAACATGTAGCCTAGTCTGTAAGTGATACTTCCTTGTCAGTTAGCAGAGATAGCAGGGATTATATAGAGAATTTTGTGTAAGAAATTCAGTTGTTGTCAAACAGAAGCACTGCAGAACTGAAGAACCCTTTTGCTAAGCATAAATGTGACCTTTGTTTTCTTCCATTTTTTTTTTTACTGTGAAAGAAATTTCTGCCTGTGGATTGGGCATGCTGAAAATATAAGACTTCCATTTTGCTTCAGTGATTTGTTGAAAATTTTCTATCATCTGCACCCTTACTACGTAGCCGATCCCTCAGCAACCCACAAAGAGACAAGGAAGTTTGACCAAATGAGCCCCCACCAAAACATTCCCCTGGAAATGGAAGCAGTGATTTAACATGACACCAACATCTTGTCTTCTAAAGCTGTCTTCCTGCACTACCTCTGTATAGGAATCAAATTCTAATGTACATAATACACTTTAATAGCTTTTCTTTATCAAATTTTAATGTGCTGTTCTAACTCACTTGCTTTTTCTGCAAAATTATGTCTAACTCGCAATGTGATATAGCTCAAGGAGACTTAATTATTAAGGCTATTGACCAGCTGTAAAACTTTACGTGCAGAAGCACGATAGCATTACATATTGCAAGTTCTGTATTGTGTAAAACTGAATAAAGATATTCCTTCCTGAACATCCTTTTCAGTTTTGTAATGAAGGTATTCTGAAAATGCCAGGCACCGCAAGGCTGCTCACTTCTCCTGTTTCCTGACACGTGAGTCTTTGTGTCACATAACCAGTGCGTGTGGTTGTCACACTGCAGCAGAGGGACTGTGCCAGGAGCTGCCCAGGCAAACGTTGCTTCCTGGCAGTCTCCTTTCACCCAGGGCCTGGCCAGTGTTCCGTGTTGTGTGACACCCAGGGACGAGGACAGGACCGAGGGGGACAGAGCTACAGGAGCACCAGGTGTGCTCAGTTGTGAGGGTCACACGTGCCTGGGATTTGGTATATGTGCCTCAAAGAATGTATTTTTCAGATACAAACACTCCTATAAAATGACAGGTTGGTAGAAATCTGAATTGTGTGTCCTCTAAACCGAGACCCTGCTGTGTTGTTCCCATGCAAGGAAAGCTTTATTAAAAAAATGATTTAGGAAAATGTTTTCTCTGGGAGAAGGGTTATGAAATGACTTCAAAACAAAGGCATTACAATTGTCCACTCATAAGAAACAGTAAATACTTGGTTGCTTTCCCAAATCAGTGAGGGTGTCTCAAATACTTGCCAGATAAATGAACTTTAATTTTCTTTATCTGATAACGTGAAGATACCATGTTAAATTAGAGCTTATAAAACACGCATGAGCATTTATGGGCATTGGTCACATTTCTTCTTTCCGTACAGTTTTATTAAAAGAAAGAGGATGACATTTCTCCACAAGAGGAATTTGAAATGATCTTCTCAAATGACAATCCTGTTCTTGGCCATTTTCCTGGGATAAAAGGTGGAGTTAGCTGTGGGAGAGGGCATGTGCTAAACTTGCAGAACAGAATTATGACACCATGTACCTCCACCAAAACAAGTTATCACACGCTTCACCCTTGCCACTTAAAAGTGAGAGATCAGTGAAGGGATCAGAGCATTTCCTTTGCCTAGATCTTGCTATAGAAAACTCTTCTTAGCGTCAGTAAGAAGCTGACTTGAGAGAGTTGAGTGCTACACACTTGAGTTTGGACAGATCATGCAGAAATGCTGCCTGGTACCTCTTAGAGTCATAGTTACAAGTATTTCCCTTTGAAGGTGGGCTGCAGGTGCTCTTACTGTTCAAGCCGTTACCACGTGCCCACTAACTCACGAGTTCCGCGGATTTACCTTGCCCACAGCTTTCGCAGCGTGCTGTGAGGAGGGAGCTCCCGTGGCCCTGTGTAATTCCCGCCGGCGGCCTCCCCAGCCCCGCGCGTTCAGATCTTAAAAAGAAGTAAAAGGCCTCGATTCAGAAATGCCTCCAGAATTGTTTCTGCCTTTGCAGGGAAGCAATTTAGAAGACCAGCAATGTTGCCTCGCCTCAGGCAGAATAACGGCGGGGGAAGCTCACGGGGAACTGTATCCTGCCCGTCATGAGCAGTCAGCCAAGGCGAAGCTTGTAGGGAGGAGCTGAGCTTGGACGGGCTGCGTCCACGGCACGTTCACAAGCACCCACCTTCCTGCCAACACCCACATGCCGCGCACCACGCAAACCCTTCGGTAATCCATGAAGAGAGGATTGAGAGGGGATCTGATCAATATGTATAAATACCTGTGGTATTTATCTCAGTGGTGACCAGTAACAGGACAATGGGTAATGGGTACAAGTTGAAACACAGGCAGTTCCATCTCCACATGAGGAAGAACTTCTTTCCTGTGGGGGTGACAGAGCCCTGGAACAGGCTGCCCAGAGAGGCTGTGGAGTCTCCTTCTCTGGAGATCTTCAGAACCCACCTGGATGCCACCCTGTGCCACGTGCTCTGGGTGTCCCTGCTGGAGCAGGGGGTTGGACTGGATGATCTCTAGAGGTCCCTTCCAACCTCAACCATTCTGTGATTCTGAAACGTGTGAAGGTATAAAGTAGAGTTGTAATGAATGTAAATCAATATTAACTCCATGAGACTGTGTCTTTCTCTGTAGTCATGAATGTATTCTTAGTATCCAGAGCGATGAGGATTAAAAGCGCCTTTAAGTAGGAACACAAATCTAAACCATAGAATTAGATATTGCCTATTTCCCTGATAGAAAAGAAACTATCACTGAATTTAACTTAGTTAGTTAAGAGCATAGGTGAGCTGATACCTATAACATTTCCTCATCTCCTTTTTTGACTTATCACCTTCTTTCTGACAGGAGAAATAGTTGAATAAAAAGTTAATATCAGATATGATGATAGTAACAAACAAGATTGAGTAGCGTACTCTGAAAAGCTGCATGTGGAAAAGCGCTTTGGAAACATTTTGTCAGGCAGGAAATAAGCCACTGATTTTTTGTACTTATAAATCAGAACAGATACAAGTAAAAAAAATACAGTGTGCTGCAAGGAGAAATACAGAAATTGGCCATAAACAGGGGCAGCACTTTGTACAGGAGATGTCCTTTCTTGAAGTCTTCTAAGACGACTGTAATTCTAGGGCTCTGGCCCAGAAAAAAAGGGATGAGTGACGGATGATCTTGAAGTATTTCTTGAGTCTAGTGAAACTTTAACCCTTACAGCCTTGGAGTTTATACTAATGAACTGAGAGGCAGAAAAGACAGAAACATTTTCACACAGGTCAAACAAATGTATAATATCTAGCTCCAGGTACCCTAAATATATCTATTGAAAAATGTGTTTGTCTACAGAGAAGAAAAAAATGTTAACTGGCTTTGAAAGGTATGGGGCGATTTGTGAACTATCCATGGAATTACTCAGTCTCTATCAAAATGCAAGCAGTTTGACCTCACTGCACAATAATGCAATATTTCTGTTAGTAATTAAATACTGCAAGCACACTTTTTAGTTAATGCAAAGAAGCTTTGGGATAGTCAGCAATTTGCCTGCGCCCTGTCCTGATTACACTGGTGTAAACAGCGCCAGCAGGAAGCGGGAAGCAGCTACCACCGACAGGAAGATTGAATTTAGCATCAAACTTGTTATCCAGGCAGAGCAGGCTGCTCAGGATGCTGGTAAGAAAAAGTATATAGATTGCTACAGCAGAGTAGACTGGTCTGACTGCTGCCTGCGGCAGCTGCTCCTCTCTGCCTACAAAGGCCATTTACAGCAATATGAGCAGGGTGAGAAGGTTTTAGGAAGATATTGTAACCTGAGGCGTTATCCAAATAAAAATACTTGCCACAGTGTGTTATGGTCTCACTCAGATACAGTTACTACCACGTGCAGGAAGGGTTTGACTTGTATGTTGAACTAGGAGGCTGTGTAGTTTCAAAAATAGCATAGTTAGCATTAGAGTTGTTTTCAGTCTTACTACTTCGAAAGATATCTAAGCTTTTGTTGAATTCTGATAATGCTCTGTAGTACCTGTTTAACTTGGGGATTAGAGTTTTTATATGAGATGCATGAAGTTAAGAAGCTGCCACACATCAATTCCAGCTACCTAGAGGCAGAAGATGTTGTGGAGATCTGTTTAACCCGGTTTGAGTCAGTGAGGCATCATGCTTACAAGTGAAAGATGAGTGGCCTTGAAATACTCTTTGCAGTGTAACTGACTGCTCATTAATATATGATGGACAATTCCCTTTTGAATTCTATGCACGTCTTGGGAAATCCATCCGCACAGAGCCTATAGCA